GTTGTTTGCCAACCGCCATAAAACACAAGAAGAAAAGACGAAGAAGGAGGGAATCAAGCAAATCAAAATGGCGGCGCCCATCACATTCAGAAAGTTGTGCTTGATTATTATTGCTGTACTTCGGTGTTTGCGGAGGGTCAGGCGAAGACGGCAACCTTTCGTGGATTTACTTTAAAGTAAATGTACAGTTATAGTTGTTCTTCTTCTGTTTTGTGTTGGTTGGCAAGCAATTCCTGGAGGGGCATTACCGCCAACTACTGGAATGGAGTGTAAATCGGGATGTGTAGCCAGGCGGAGATGACGCGTTCTGCTCATGCGCTCTTGTTATCAGAGAACCGACCCAGGGAAAAGCTGAGCCCACAACTGGAAATGGTCTGCAGTTAGCGCGGTCCGGTTGTGTCTAGCTCGGTTCAGTTCAGTTTGCTTTCCATTTACACACGATAAGTTATCCCAGTTACTGAGCTCGGACCGGTCCGGTCTCGGTTTTTTAAAGGGTAGCGTAAATGGGGTAATAGAAGGTTATACGCAACACACGTTTTAACATGAAAAAGTAAGATTTGTAGGTGATTACTCCTTTAACAATGTTACTGGTGGTGCAATTCTTGGAAGTCTGCTTTTGAAAGAAATTATTGTACAACCCTCTTTTGTCCATAGAACAGCTCTAACAGCACACAGGCTTCAATAACATTTAATTCTTTTGAAAAATGAAGGATCTTTGCTGACTTGGTTGGTTCTTTTGCTCCTTTTTCTGTAGTTCTCCCAAAGATTTTCTTTACAGTTAAGGTAAAGGCAATGAGATATCTGTTTTTTTATGAGATCTCTGGATAACCTTTTCTGAATTGATTTATCCTGTTTTTGAACCAAGATTCAGTTAAACAAAAAAAAGAATCAGACGGAGGTCTTCACATTTGAATATGCAAATGAAAGAGTCAAGAGGAGATGCAGGCCATCTATAAACATTTACGAGGTCCTTTGGAAATAACTCCCCATAGCATCATTAATCCTTCACTAAACCTTACAGCGGGCATAGGGCGGGAGGAAGCCGGAGTACCCGGAGAGAACCCACACATGCAAAGGGAGAACATGCAAACTACATGCAGAATAATCCCGGGCCAGAAATCGAACCCGGAACGTTCTTGATGCAAGGCAGCAGTGCTACCCACTGCAGCACTGCAACCCTTAGGGGTGTTTTTTTTAGTTTTTTTTTTTTTTTTTGCGGAAAAGGCTAAATCTAAGTCTCATCTGACCATAACTTAAGATTTTAACAAACTCTACAGTTTTATGTTTGCAGTGTATGGCTTGGGTCCTGCTCTTTGTTCCTTAGCTTTTAGTTTTGGAAACCTTTTTTTGTTTCTTTTTTTACTTCCTCAGTAATCCTACTATCTCTGTGTGACGTCAAGATAATTCCTGAACCTTGTCCATCATTGTAACCAGTGGCCATAATAAGTTGACCTCTGTGTGATGTCATTTTTATTCCCTGAGCAGGAAAATGTAAAGTATTATGAACTTCCGCAACCTACAAATCATACATGAAATAAATGAAAATAAATACATTTGATATACTCTAAAATGGAGATATGATTGTTAGCCGTATTTCAATTAATGAAAGGATTTCTGGAAAGCAGACGGTGTGAAATTATGCAATAACAAGACTGTAAGACTTCATACAGCGAGGCAAAAAACTGTGGTTATGACAGAAAGGTGAAAGCTGAGGTGTTTCCACTACCAGTGTTTATAACCCACTTATCTATTTATTGGTTGAGACCAGAGGTGGAGGAGGTCAAGTTTGTCCTGTTTGCTTAATCGGGTGATTGCCGTTTTGTGGAGCTGGAAATACAGACCGCCTGAACTTATCTCTGTACAGGCTTCTTATTTTCTGGACCTGATTTATAATCCTCTGGTTGGAAAGGGAAAAAATATTCCCTCTCAAACTAAGCAAATACGAAGACAAAAAAAAGCCCTTATAGTCGCATTATTCCTCATTACGGAAGAGGATTAGGGCCACTGGGAAAAAAAAAATGTTTACCGATTTTAAAATTATATTTCAATTTAGTATGGGAAAAAAGTCAGAATTCTGACTTT